CAATAGCAATGGAATGCTCTAAGGCAGTGGAGCTGCCTCTTTGAATGCGGTCACAATTCGTGAGAAAATCATCATACCTTTCATGTGTAGAGCATGAATATAAGCCGGCCGCATAAATTAAGAAAAATGTGTAAAAAAAACATCAACAAACTGAGGCGACACTAACGGACCGGCAATAAAATGTAACGTTCGTGAGGGGCGGTCAGTGTGAGAATATCATAGTGGAGAGCACGTGGGCGTGAAATCGAGAGCGAAACGAGCAATGAAACAAAATGGAATGGAACTAAAAGCTAATGCTGCTGCAATTACCGTTTCATGCTGCGGCCACACAACAGTCAGTGCAAAAAACCTGTTACAGTTCGGTTGCGTCTGCGTCGCTGCTGCTGCTGCTGAGTCATTGCGCAGGCGTGCGGCGCTCTGCTAATTGCCCGCACCAACGGCGTGTGAGTGACACTAGCGATTAGCGTCGCTGCCGTCGTCGACGTCGCAGTTTTGAGTTGAACCGAATAATTTGCATGACGCTTTTAGCTTAAACGTTTCTTCAACTGCTGTTGTTGTTGTCGCTGCTACTGCTGCGGGGTTCGTTCACATTGCCGTAGGTTGTGATTTGTTTAGCGGTCGCACAGTCATATCCCCCCACCCTTTTATGCCCACCTTCATAACTCGTACACTTGTTAGAGATATGCGAAACTTGTATTATTTCTCTTTAGCGAATTCCCCAAAATTAATTTATTTGTTTGCACATTTTATTTTCGGCAGTGGTGCAATTCGAAGCATACGAGTTAATCGAATCAAATTCTTGATAACTTATGTATTAGCAGCTTAATTGTCTCTTGGCCAAACGTATTATGCCATAAAAATGCTTAAGCCATTAAATTAATGCAAATTAAATTCAATTATAAATCGTTGTAATATCACTCAGGCATTGAATGAGAGCCACAAGTCCCGATTCAATTAAAATATAAATCGACTGAGCCTTATCAGCAGCGCTCCATAAAATTTGCGCCTTTAGATTCGAATTCGAATGGGAGCGAATGAGTCAATATCGAAAAATTTTTTTTGCGTCTTTCATGTGCACTCACTCACACACACAAAACGCGCGTGTAAGTGCTTAGAGCTTAGAGCTTTGCCAGAGTAAATGCGAGGACAACTGTATAAGAGAAAGGCTGACTTCGGAATAAAATGGAATGAAATTAATATGTAACACAGAAACTGTGGAAAAAACCTGAATACTTTCAATATGAATGATTTGGTGTATTAGGGAATATTTTAATAATTTTAAATAGTTTGTCATATTATCAAATCTTTTAAGCAAATATTAATAAGCTTATTGACTGAGTGGATAATAGGGATAATATATTTATAGTATATTTGATCTACAAAAAATAATATTCATAAAATGCTATTTTATGGCTTAGAAAAAAAATGTTCAACCTTATCCATTTGCAAGATCAGATCTAGATATACATATATGCATATAATACAGCCACCAAATGAAAATTTAAAAATTTAAATATTTATATTTATATTTTTAAAGTAATTTACATATTTATTTGACATATATTATAATCTTTAAAGCAACTCAATATTATTGAAAAAGTCAAAGCATTCAAAATTTCATATATTAAGCATCGCTTTGCTCTAAGATTTCATCGAAATGGGGCAGATCCACTTTAATTGACTCAATGATATTTCTACTTTGTGGTAAGATCAACTGTTTAATTATATATTCATCCGGCTGATTATTAAAACGCCCCCATTTATAAAGATATCTAGAGATACACACTATTCGAATAGGCCACGAGGTTTCTTTCCACTCTTCATGCCTCGTCTTCTGCGCTCCCCCCAATTTTCATCAATCAACGTGCAGCCCAAGAGGGGGCAAGGCAACACAGTTTTAAATCAACTTTAATTGAAATAAATTGTCATATCATTTGCGCTGGCATAGAAAAACAGACGCGCTGGCAATAAACAAAAAATGAGCTGTATATATATACATATTTATGTATAACTGTATGTGAATGTTATAATATGTGGGCTATGTAATGGCCTATCTCTTATCTGCGGGCTTCACTGCTTGACGGGGCTTGAGTGCTACTTAAAAATGCTTATAAATTAAAGCCATCAATCAAGCAAATTGAAAATATTGAAGCATCGCTGCATTATGACAGAATTTTCTACATTTCCCAGTTATCGTCCTCTCTTTCCCCACTCATTCTACATTCATTAACTCGACGATTCCCGTAAAGTAAAAGCCTAAAAGCAGCAGCTGCTGCCTTCGCACTGGCCAATTAAGTGAAAGTAATTTTTTCACTCAATGCAAACACTCAATGATAACTGTATTTTTTTTTTCATTTTACATTTTATATTTGTTTTAATGCTAATGCCAATTGCGTAATCAGATATAAACAAATATCATAAAAGCCAGTCATAAAGCTACAGCGTGTTAAGGTCGGCTGATATCGAGATCCGTTGATCATAAAAAAGCAAAATTTACCAACTTTGCGGTTAAGTGCGCACGCACAATGGGACCGCCTAGTAGCTCCGACTATAATGTAGCCAACCCCCCAGCCACCCAGCTACTCAGCCACACATCCACCTACCCCCACCGCTCACACTCGCCCTACGCCGTAACAATTTACGGCAACACAGTTTATGCAATTTATGTGCAATTTTTCAATTGTGACTCCGACAAACGGCGAACCGGAAGATTTCGCTTGGAGCTACACAGCTGTGAATACCCTACAAGTGAGTATTATGCATTTGACATTAAATGTGCAACATACATATAAGCCAGAAGACGAGAATATATCCAATCAGATTTATAAAGAATCAATTTAAATTGAGTTCCGTTTGAAGCAACTAAATTTTAAATACTCCAGCAGAGGGCATTCGTAACAGAACTTTCAACGTTTACCGGCAGACTGAACCCGTGAATATTATATATGTATATATATAAGAACAAATTTGATTGGAACATAAGTTTTGCTTGGAACACTTTCTTATTCGTCTGACTTTTCTGTAATTCCCCAATTAAAAGAAAAACTATTTTGAATAGGAAAAATCGTATTCCATTATCCCGATCTTCTTGGTATTTAATCTATTCTTCTTTCGTATCAGCACGCAGGTCTTGATCTTTAGTTTAATGACATTTATTCTCTGTACGCTATATATATATAATCTCTCGAGAATCTCTATAAATCTAATCAATTTTTAAAATCACTCGAAAATACGTTTTTTTCTTAAATAATGTTCGTCTTATTATTCCTGTTTTATGTTTCTATTCGATGTCTATTTTGGAAGAGTATTTGGACGTCAGCGTGCCGAAAAAAATTTCTAGCAATTTTTTAATCATACACATTTAATTTGAGGCTCATAACTTTATGAGCTGCCACATAAAATGTTACATGCGCGAAATGTAATAATTTAGTAGCCATTCGAGCAACGGACGAACGGATGGACTGCAGGTTATATTTTAATCGCAATCAATCGGAATGACATTTGAAAAGTAAAGGCAAAGCAAATGATAAACTTAAAATAATTTCAATTGAATTATAAACAGTTTTCAAGGAAATTGAGTGATATTAAACTAAAGATCTATCTAAACATGACGAAATCAATCAACAATAGTTAATAGTTTTCTTTATTTGATAATCGTTAAGTGTGAAAAATCTAACGATTGCCCGACGGCTGATATTTATTACCAGATACTCCGACAGCTAGCTTTTAATGAGCTTAAAATATAATAAAAAATACTTTGGAGACGCCAACTCCCAAGTTTTGCGACATTTTGGACACCGTTTGATTAAGTAGGCCATAATAGACTCAGAGAACTTCAATTCATTTCGCATGAGATCAAAACGAACTTCGTCTAATGGCTGACATCATAAAAATCTAGCCGAACGCACTGATGGATGATTATCTCTGGGCACACACACGCAGACAAACATCATTTGTCAGCATACAAATCATGGCTGTAGTTAACTTCCTTATCAATCACGAAACATTACCATAGAACCCATACATTTGCATTTGAATGAACGTACCTGCAAAGAAAAAAACAAAAAGCAAATACAAATAAATTAATAATATGAAAGATTATCGTATCATAATTTGCATAAAATATTATATATATAGTTATATATGTATTTGAATACGTGGGAAAATGTTGGGAGCAGCGAGCAGCGGGCGCCAAAAGTTGACACATGAATGTATCAAATGATATGGGGGAATGCACAGTATAATATCAAAAAATTGCGCACAAAATGAGCATTGGTAAAATATCAACAAATCGACAGCGGCAAGTCGAGCCGCATTATGGGCTATCAAATTTCCAGATCCCCTGCTTGGCTTAGCCCTGTGGCTACATATACCCTTTGAAACTGAAGACTGTGAAAACAATTTACGCGCATTGACGGGAAAAAAAAGAAAATTTTTTGAAGTAGATACAGAGTCAACAAAGGTGGGGGCAAGCGAGAGATTTTCGGCACACGTGTGAATACAATGCTTAACATACATATTTGTTGTTGTTGTTGTCTATGTAAATAGGTAAACAAATCCAAACAGAAATCCCAGAGAGAGCGACAGCAAGAAAGAAAGAAAGAGAGGAGTGAGAGTGAGCAGGCTTCACTAATAACGACAAAGCCAAACGCACGCCTAAGAATTCGGAATTGCCGACAATTGAGAGTGAAAACAACGGTAGTTTGCTAAACTAGTAAAAGCTACTCTTTAGGCAGCGATTAAAAAGTGGAGAATGTGTGAGAGACAGAGTGCGAGTGTGTGTGTTTGTGTGTAAGTGGCAAACAAAAAACGGCAGCCAGAAAAAGCAAACACAAGGCGAATTGAGCTGTCGCCCGTTGCCTTGTCACAATATTTATAGTGTGCAGTGTAATGTGTGCGTTTGTTGTTGCTGCTGGTTGACCTGTACAGTGCCTGTCACCAAATAATGTCCACTTTAACGTGCAATAATGTGTGTGGATAGATTCAGTTTGCTTGCTTACCGGATAATACATTCCTTGCGGAGGAAGAAAAAATGCCCCGGAGCCCCACAGTTTGACGGCTTTTTGTGTTTACAGTTGCGTCGCAAATTATATGCACAGCTGCCCCGTATAATTGACACCAACAAATTGTGTGCTGTTTCTTTTAGGGGTAGTCTCCACTATCTAAATAGGGGTAGTCACGCTTGTTTCTTGCACTTTTTAATTACCACTGTATTTGATTAGACGTTGCATTTGCACTTGTTTAGTGTGTTTTATACGCATTCATTTATCTTTTCATATACGATTTACAATTTTAATTTTTGGCACAATTTACAATTGGAGTGAATTTCACTTAGGAGTCGCAGTTCACGATATTATTAAATTGAACTGAAAATACATTTTCAAAAAATATTTTTATGCAAATCGAAGAGAAATCAAAAAATTAATTTAAAAAACTCATGCTTGACTCAGTCAAGGAATTTTTAAAGATGAAAAGATATCAGTTTAAAGATTCTCTAATAGAACATAGGCCAGTCCAATATAGATACATGACAAAATAATAATATTATGGCTGAAATATTTGAACATTTTCGCAACAGATTTTTACGCGGAATTTTACGATTTGCGAAATTTTTGAATAATGTCTGCGCAGTTAAATTATTTATATTTATATACATATACATAAATATTAACTTATAGATATATATATATACATATTTGTCGGTGTTTTTGTCAACGAATAGTATTGAAAAACTAATTGTTATTTAGGGGTTGCTCTCTTATCCAACTGGGCAAAGGATGTTGCATGGCGGCTGTGACTGTGGCTGCGGCCAAGCGAATCGAAACGAAAACAGAAAATGCGCAAAAAGACGGAATGAAAAATACAGCGCAAACGCGAGACAAAAGAGACCAGCCAAAAGGCATGAGAGACAGCCACGCGCTTTTATTTAGGGGCAGGGGCCGGTGGAGAGGCAGACGCAGTTTCCAGTTGAATGAAATGATGTTTATAAAAAAGAAAGAAAAAACATCTATTGCGAATTTTGTTGTCACTGGGAACATTGCTGGCGTTGTTATTGGTAAAGCGATAAGTCTTCACGTTATTCATATATAAATACAATATTTATTCTCTTTGCGGCATATTCGAGCAGCAGACTTTCCACAAAGGCTGTGCTTTGTCTGTGGCCAGCGGAAAACGCAAACGCATTTTAAATTCTATTCGTGTGTTGTTATTGTTATTGTTGCTTTACAGCTAAATGCAATTTTTGGTTATGCGACGGCGACGGCGACACATTATTCTCTCTTACGAGGCGAATTCATCATCTGGCACACACATTTTATTTTCGTTGATTGAATGGGAAAGACAAAGCGCAGCACCGACAAGCAGCTGAGCGTGTGTTGGTGTATGTGTGCGTACGTGTGTGTTTGGATGCTGCTGCTGCTGCCGCTACTAGCAGAGAGTGAGTGAGTGAGAGAGAGACGTGAAAAATCGAATCAGAAAAACAGGCATGCGAACGGTGGTGCGAATGGCAATGCGAGAAGGATCAAAGGATAAACAAGGAGGCGCAGCAGCCATGAAATGTAAACGAAGCGCAAAAAGCAGCGAGCGAAAAATGTGCGCAAAATAAATTGCGAAGGGAACAGAAGGAACGACGGACAAAAACATGTGGCACATTGAATGAATTTCTATATATATACATGTGCACATATATATCTATAGTTTTTTCTTTTCGTTTTGTATGAGCAATGATGCTGCTTATGAACAAGCGGTCGAAGGGGGAAGGCAGAACAGACAGGCACAAGAGAAATCACGTCCCTCGCGCCTGTCTGACTCTGCGATGCTGCTGCTGCTTCTGCTGCCGCCGTCGATGCCGCTGCCGTAGCCGAGAGAGATGGCATATATATTTATTTTTAACTTTTCATTTCATTTTGTATCTGTACGTTGTACGTTGCCGATTCCGATTCCTATTTAAATATGTATTGTTGAACATAGCTCGTTGTTGCACTGCACTTTTATTTCAAAATTTAAAGCACTTGACGTTGTTGTTGTTTTTTTAGAAACGTATTTCAATTTGGTTTTGTTGTTGGGTATTTGCACACATGGATTACATGTTTTGTATTCATACGCTTGCGTTGATGTAGACATCAACTATAAACTATAAGCGTTCAATTTTTTTATTTCACTTTTTTGAGCGTCTTTGACTCCCACGACTTGTTGAGAAGAGCGAGAATATGTAATAGCTACAATTGGTAGGGAAATACGCGCGCAACGCTTAAATTTACCGCAGCAACAATCAAACACGTCCGCTCGCAACGACAAATGAAATGCGAATGAGAGATGAAAACGAAGAGCGAAACTCATGGGAGATGCGAGCATTGGTGAGCGCAGCAGAATATTGTGTTCGTTGCGCAAACTGAGAGTTTTATGGCGGTACTCACACCAAGAGAGAGAGAGTGAGATTGAGAGTCGGAGCATAAAACCAGTGGGTTGTGTGTTTTCCAACACTATTAAACTCATGCTTGGCGCCTATTATATTTTTTAAATTTATGATGTAACTAAATTAATAGCATTACGATTTATTAACCGCTTATAGTGGAATGCTATATTTCTATTAATATTTTATTATGAAATTATTGTAATATTCATACTATATACATATAAGTATCAATGCATACAAAGTAACCTGGCCCAATCTACAGCAGTGCTGTTACATTAACATAGCTCTGTTACTCTATCAGTCTTATCGATAACATATTTACCGCGGGAATATGTGATGACAATCGAATTCAAAAATTAAATTGCAATTCGTAATATTATAAATTTAAAATTATAAAATATAAGAATATTAAAATCATACATAATTCTTATTTCGTATGCCTAGAAATCTAATGTGCCATACGGACAAAAACAATTGACACTCTTCTTGCTTTCTATTAGCCTCTGGTTTCTTGTCAAGGGCCGACCAAAGGATATGCACCCACAATTTGAACTTTTCCCTCTAGCCATACACACATGCTGTTGGCCATGTTGCTGTTCAAACAATGTTCCCTTTCCCCTTGGCGCTTGCCACTTGCAATTTGCCACTTGCCGCTTGCCACTCGCCATGGCCAGCAAATCAGAATTGCGTCCTGGCTGCAATAAAACCAAATCAAAAGTGACATGCCTCATTTTCGGCTGGGCACCAACATGACGGACGCGTTGTCAAGATTGCATTAGCCGCATGTGGACTGCAGCAGCAGCAGCAGCAGCAGAACGGAGCAGAATGTCCTTGCTGGCAGGACAACAGCTTGCCACGGCAAAGCGTGCGAGGCTTATTAAACAGGCAAGTTGCAGACGACACCAAGCGGGGCAGAGCAGATTTAAAATGCAAATAGCCTCACGAGTTTACAGCGCCCCATTCGAGCAGTCGAGCTGCAGCCGAGCGTATCCTGAAGCTGGCCCACTCAAATGTCCTTCGCCCTATCAGCTCCACTAAGCAGCAGCAGCAGCAGCAGCCCCTGTGCGTGTTTTGGTTGTTTTTGGGGCTCTGTGCATAAATGCAAATGCCGTGAAGCTGGCAACTTTTTAATCCACGCTGGGCGGCAAATTGTCGCCTCGACAGCGGGAAAACAACGAGGCGAAGCTTCCTGCATGGCCAGCTAAGCCGATTCGCTGCCAGCTGCAGATAAATGCAGCATATAGCCACATATAGAACAGACAAAGCTCTGCTTCCAGGCAATATGAAATATGCGCTTAGCCGATCTCTGAACAGCACTAAAACGGGAAGGTTATCTTGACAGATACAGAAGATAATCTTCAGCTGCGAGAAGCTAGTAGAAGGTCGATAACATTGCTGCAATATTAATGATTTAACAGCAACGTAACATAAGCTGTTAGCTTAGAGCTAACATTGCTTTGAAGCACAGATATGATTTGAAAGCACTCTTTCATAAAATGCAGAATATATTATATATATAGAAGATAATCTTCAGTTGAGAGAAGCTAGTAGAAGGTCGATAACATTGCTGCAATGTTAATGCTTTAACAGCAACGTAACATAAGCTGTTAGCTTAGAGCTAACATTGCTTTGAAGCACAGACGTGTTTTTAAAGCACTCTCATAGAATTCAGGATATATGATATATAAAGAAGATAATCTTCAGCTGAGAGAAGCTAGTAGAAGGTCGATAACATTGCTGCAATGTTAATGCTTTAACAGCAACGTAACATAAGCTGTTAGCTTAGAGCTAACATTGCTTTGAAGCACAGACATGTTTTGAAAGTACTCTTTCATAAAATGCAGAATATATTATATATATAGAAGATAATCTTCAGTTGAGAGAAGCTAGTAGAAGGTCGATAACATTGCTGAACTGTTAATGCTTTAACAGCAACGTAACATAAGCTGTTAGCTCTAAGCTAAGCACAGACGTGTTTTTAAAGCACTCTTTCATAGAATCCAGGATATATGATATATATAGCCACTTGCAAGATTCACTGTATAGCCATATCCATCTATCCAGATCCACTGAGCCACAGATAAGTCATGCAGTTTGATGATTATGAAAGCTTTTTATTATCTTAACAGCCTCATATCATAGCCAAGCATCCAACTATCACTTTGACTAAATCTGAATCAGAATCTTAAAGCAATATTTTGCTATTAATACTTTCAGATACCCTTGAAGTCGTTCAGGATTGCATGACCTCAGCTAAGCATTATAAATTTGATATGAAAATATCGAATTTGTGTCTGACATTGTTATAAGCAACCTTTACTAAGCATGCTTTCTCAATCAAATTGTTCACATTAGCTAAGCCTCAAGCTATATTAGCTGCATATGGAAAAGCTGCTGCTGGAGGTCTCAGGTTAAGGAGCGCTCAACATTAATGTTAAGCTGCACATAATCTGTTTGATTTGCTAACATTTTGGGTAGAGCTTCCACATGATCCACCGCAAAATTGTTATGCTTTCTATGGCGGCCTTAGGAAACTGAAACTATTTGCAGTTTGAGCTGAATTCAATCTGGTTTTCGGCTAAGACAACGCAGCGAACCGCAGCAACCCGAAGAAAACTAAAACACGCACCGACCCAGCCCCCAGGTGGCAAAACAGTGGCAGTCAGAGAGTTGATATATGAATGGGTGGTCGGGTGGTTGGGTGGCTGAGTGGCTAGGTCGAATCGAGAGTGGCCAACAAACCGCAAACAATAACAAACGATGGCCAAGGCGAAACACAAACAGAGACCGAAACAGACGCTGCCTGCTGCCTGCTGATGACGCCTACAAAATGGCTACAAAGAAGCAGCACGAGATGCTACGTGAGCAAGGGGCTGGGCAGGGCGAGTGGCAAGCGCGCAGGGGGCGTTGTCCTGTGCCATTTGGAGGCAAAAAGGATTTATGATGCTTGTTATCGCGCAGCCGGAACGAGGCAAACGATGACAAAAGGTGCCCAAAGGCAAGGCATACATACACAAAAAGGAAACATGCGCTGTGCGGGTGTGCGTGTGTGCGGGTGTGCGGGTGTTGGGCAGATAAGATCTGCACGCACAACAAAAAGCATTGCATACTTTCAGGGGCGAGCTATGTGGGTTTAACATGTGTTCATTCATTTGTAGCTAAATTGTTGTTGCTGTTGCCATTGTCTGTTGTTTGTTGCCTGTTGTTATTGCCAGCTAATCGGAAATATTTACGGCGTAGCCGAGGCTCAGGTGTAGCTGCCTCTTTGCCGCGCTCCACACGAACATAAAATGCGCATTAATTAAATCTGAGAATAGGCTGCCAATAGGCGCTGCCTAATTAAAAATGTAAAAAACAGAAATGAATTTTATACGCATGCATAAAAGCAAAAGTTGGCCATTAGCAGCGCCTAAAAGTATCTATTAGTCTGGGCGGGGCCAGGTGGGCGGGGGCAGGCGGGCTAAATTAGTCAATAAATTAAAGCTCGCCAAGGAGTCGGGCTGCCAGGCAGCCAGGCAGCCAGAGCATAGCACCACTTGGGCTACCACCATAACGAGCCAAGCCAAACCAAAAAAAAAAAAAGGAAGAGGAAGAAGAAGAACATTGCATTAAAAAATCCATTCATTAAAATGGCAAAACGTGGCACAAAATTTATGGCCATCGGGCAGAAGGAGTCGCAGGCGGAGTCAAAGTCGTGGAGCGTTGCGTTCGCCAACGGCTCGTCTCAAGTGGCAGCGCGTTTGCTTCGAGCATGCCACAAAGAGCAGCTTACAGCAGCAGCAGCAGCAACAACACAAACAACAGTTAGACAAGCCGACAGGTGAGCACTGAGCAGAACAGAAGACTTAAAGCATTTCAGCTAGAAAATACTATGACAATATGAAGCAAGCTAACTCCATTCAGTTCTCAATCATTTCTGTTCCGACTTAAGCAACTTAACTATAAAAAAGTGCAATTTTAAGATTTTCAGCTATTTATCTTAAAAAGCTTTCAGGTATGTCTAGGACTCTCGGCTCTTATCTGAAACCTTATTGAAATTCCTTTAAAATCTTCAGTTCACATGGAGCCAATGGAGCCTCATGCTCCATACTTAATTGCCATCAGTTCCTCAGATAATCAAGTCTTAGTCATAAATATAATTCAGCTTATGAATTCAAAGCCAACTATCATGACAAATTCGCTTTTATTTTATTAATTATTAATTAATTATTAATTATTGCCCTCTGATGCATTCAATTCTCCTCTAAGTGGGACTGCAGAAAATTATATATTCCTATTATTTAAGTTGCTAATTAAATTTATATTTAAGTAATTATTATGAAGCTTTAATCGAAATTAAGCTTGCTGTATAATCTTTGCTTAAAAAGAAAGCTTTCATTGAAATCCAAAGCTCTCTTTTGATTATTTAAACTTATTTCAATCAAAAAGTTCTGCAAAGCTTTAGCTTATAATAATATTCCATTGATTTCATTTATCAACTTTTGTATGCTTTAAACATTAATGCGTCTTTAAATAACTTTTCACAAATTTGAGGTCAGTTTTTGACTTTTCATTACACAGACTTAGCCAGTTCTACATTTTTTTCTATGAACAAAGCGCATTAATTAAAGTTAAAAGCTTTAATTTCTATGAAAAAGTTCATTAAGGCTTTAATGAAGATCTAATGAAAGCTTTTATATTAAATGAATAGAAGTCAAGGCTTGATAAAAAGACCTTTATATAAGGTATAATAAATATATAAAATAAACCGACATAAAGTGCATACAAAAGGAGCTTTTCGTCAATACATTTATTTTAAAAAAAAGTAAACTGAATATTTTATTTAATTATTAAAATAACTATTAATTATTAATTATTAAAATTTTAATTTAATATTAAAATATT